CCTCTCTCCCCACCCATGATATGCAGATAGGGCTGTGCGTGTGTCTGTGCGGCTGGGGAAATCTCCTGGATTGTAAGGGAGCCCCAGGTCCCCCAGGTACCTGGGGTCAAGTAAAGGGAAGTGCATCTCTGGAGAGCTGGGGGTGGGGCAGTGGTGGTGGTTCTAGGAGAGGGAAACTTCAGGGACATGAGATCAAGAACGGAGGGACTTAGGCGTAAAGTCCACTAGTAGAGGCACTTGGAGGCTGAGTTCTAGAACCAAATGAATTTTGATCTGAAATCAGAGATGATGGGAGGCTGTGAGGCCTCGAACCAGAGGAATCTATAGACTATACAGAATGGAATTCAGAAGTCTGAGGACCGAGTTCTAGAACCAGAGAGATTTTGGAGACCAGAGAGATTTTGGAGTCAAGATCTAGAATCAGGAGCTGGGGGTTGTAGGGTCTAGAACCAGAAATTTTTTAAAGGCAAGATCTAGAATTAGATGTTTGGAGGTTAAGTTCTAGATCTAGGGTAATTTGGAGTCATAAGATCTAGAGAGGGCATTGGAGATTGTGAGGTCTAGAACCAGGAGAATTTATAGGATGAAGTCTGGAATCAGAAGACATTTGAAGCCAAGTTCAAGAGTCAGGGGAAAATGAGATCATCAGATCTGGAATCAGAGGGTCCTGGAAATCACAAGGTCTAATGGTTTTATAGCCTCGAACCAGTGAATGATGGAGGTCATGAGGTCTAGAGCAAAAGAGAACTGGTGTGTGGTCTGGAAGTATTAGCGTGATTATAAGATCAAGACCTAAAGCTCGTTTTACTTCTTTTTGATTGGAAAAGCAAGTCTTGAGTGTAGAAAGTTGAAAAGGAAGGAGCTGGGCATCATGAAGCATCATGATCTAGAAGCTTAAGGAGTCTGGATTTGGAACCAAATGTATTACAGGTCAGGAAGACTAGAACCAATATAACGTTTAGGTTGTGAGGTCCAGAACGAGAAAGAGCTGGCCGTCGTGAGGTCTGGAATCAGAGGGGTTTGGAGCATGTGAGCTCGAAACCAGACTGTGTCTGGGGGGCTGTGCGGTCTAGAACCGGAGAAGGCCAGGAATTGAGTGGCCTAGAACCGGAGAGAGCTGGAAGTCATACGATCTGGAAGCAGTAGAAGTTGGAGGCTGCCCCTGGAAATAGGAAGCCCATGAATGAAGCCAGTGCCCAGGGGAGACTGAGGACAGCAGAAGCTCCCAGGGGAGGGGCAGGTAGAGTGGGGTGGCCACTTGGGAGGCTAAGGGGTTGATCTGAAGTTGCTAGGGGTGAGGTCTGCCCCAGAGGCCCCCCCCCCACTAACACCTGAAGAAGGGGGGTGGGGGTGGGAATCAGAGTTCTGCATTCTTATGGGCCCCGGGCAATTCATAGCGATTAAAACCCTGTTGTGAAAACAACAAAAATGGATGGAAAGACACGTGACTGTGGTTATCAGTACTCCCCAGAGCCCAGAAACACAGACCTGAGCCCCCACCTCCCCCACCCCTAATTACCCAAAATCAAGCCAGGAGAGTGGAGAAAGGGATGAGGTAACCAGTATAGAGAACCACAAGGGAAGTCCTGAGAGAAGGAGGAGGAGGGCGCCAGGGGCCCCCTCCCAGAGGTCACTGAGCTGAGACCACCCCAGAAAGCCCCCCAGACGTGGAGGGGCAGAGGGGTGAGGGCTGAGGTAGGCCCGAGGTGGGCGGGGGCCACTGAAAGGAGAGAAGGAGCCCCTCTCCTGGTGCCCCCATCCTGTGCTTTGGCTGCTGGCGTGGAGTGTGGCTGAGGTCCTTTCTGGGGAGCGGAAGGGCGCAGGGAAGAGGGCCCGCAGAGCTGGCTCAGTTGGCCTGGGCCAAGCCTGCCGCTGGTTGGAAGTGGCTCCTGGGCTCCACGGGGTCCTCGTCCGGGTAGAGAGAGAGCAGCGGGGGACCCAGGCCTGTGGGGAAAGATGAAGAGTCAACCAGTGGGGGTTCCCACCCAAAACCGTTTCTTCCCCTCCTGACATTTAAAAGCGTGCGTGGTGAGGCAGGCATGCCTGGGATCAAATAGCAAACTCTTGGGCCAGTTCTGTCCTCTGAACCTCAAGTGTCCAGGATGTTTAAGGCAGTAGTTAAGAAGGCTGGAGTCACGGGCACCTGGGTGGCTCAGCTGGTTAAATGTCCGACTTCGAATCCGGTCATGATCTCACGGTTTGGGAGTTCAAGCCCCGCATCGGGCTGTCTGCTCTCAGCATAGACCCCGCTTCAGATCCTCTGTCCACCCCCCCCACCCCCCCCACCCCCGCCCCCGGCCCTCCCCTGCTCATGCTTTCTCTCTCTCAAAAATAAAGAAGCATTAAACAACCAAACAAAAGGCTGGAGCCAGATGCTGCCTGAGTTGGAATGCAGGCCCTGCTGTTTACTTGCTGTGTGACCCAAGGTGGGTGATGTCACCTCTCTGTGCCTTGGCTACCTCGTATGTAAAATGGGCTAACAATACTTCCTCTCCGGGGGCTGTTGTGGGAAGGTAACTGAATCAATCCACGTGAAGCACTTTGGGCACTAACTAGCATTGGTAAGCCCCCTAGTGAATTGTTGTTACCTAGAAAACAGAGATGCTTCTATCTGCCTCACGTGTGAGAATTTACCCACTCAGAAAGTACTGTTGAGCTCCTGGTGTGTGCCAGGCACCAAGGACACAGCAGGTAACAGGACAGATGAACCTCCCAGCCCTGACATTCCAGCGAGAGGGATCAGTTGGGTCATGTACACAACATGCTTAGCCCAAAGAGTGGCACAGAGTGAGCGCCAGGTAAATGTTAGCTCTTCGTTTACAAATATGTACTGAGGCCCTGCTCTGTGCCCAGCCACTGCCCTGCCTCACACAGAGAGTATGGCAACCACAAGACAAGTCTGGCCCCTGCCTCCCACAGCGCACACCCCCAGGGAGAGGACAGCCAAAAATCAAATAATGACATGAACGCTTATGTAAATATGATCTGTGATGAGTGTTATGAGCCATGAGCTTAGGAAGTTAGGGAGGGCTTCATGGAAGGGGTAATACTCGATCTGAGATCAGAAGGATGCAATAAATAGGCAAAGAATAGAAGAAAAGGCATGCCAGGCAGAAAGATCAGCATATGCAAAGGCCCTGAGGCTGTGTCCTCCAGCAAGATTACTTCAAAGTCAGCACAATGCAGAGTCCCCACTGCAGTCAGCCACCCACCTCCCTCCCCTCCTCTCTGCTTCAGCCCTACTGGCCCTGTCTTCCCCCAACTAAGACAGATGCACTCCCACCTCAGGACCTTTGAATTTGCTGTTCCCTTTGCCTGGAGTGCTCATCCCCCCAGAAATTGTCACAGCTCACTCCCTTACTTCCTTCAGGTCTTTGCTCACATGTCACCTTCTCAATGAGACCACTCTTAATCATACTACTTGAAATCAAAATCCTACCACCCCAGAGTTCCCTTTTCCTTTGCATACATTATTTTTTCCAGAAGCGCTCTGTTCCTCTCTCGCGCCCTTAATTATATGTGTTTCTTCATTCTGGACCATCTCCCCCGCTAGCATGTCAGCCCTATGACAGCAGGGATTTCTGTTTTGTACACAGTCATGTCTCCAGCCCCTAGGACAGTGCCTGGCGCGTACTGTGTATTCGATAAATAAGTGTTCTATGTAAGGAGGACAGACTGAACCAAAAGACAGTCACTGTGGCTGAGACAAGGATGTGAGGCCGAGTGGGGTCTGTGAGGCACCGGGCAGACCCTACAGAGGCTGGAGTACAAGGTTGAGGAGCTTGGTCTTTCTCAGAAGGGCAGCAGGGAGCCATGGATGAGTTTGGAGCAGAGGGAGGTCAGGGTCAGATTCGTGCTTTGGAAAGATCTCCTAGCTAATGCCTGGACATTTTTTTGTTTTTGTTTTTAAGTTTACTTATTTATTTTGAGAGAGACAGGGAGAGAGAAAGAGAGAGAGCGAACGTGCACATGTGGGGGAGGGGCAGAGAGGAGAGACAGAATCCCAAGCAGGCTACACGCCATCAGCGCAGAGCCTGATGCAGGGCCGAACTCACAACCTGTGAGATCATGACCTGAGCTGAGATCAAGAATCAGACGTTTTAACCTGCTGCGCCACCCAGGTGCCCCTACATGGAGGTTTTGAGTGGAGCTCCGGCTCCTGATGGTTTTGCTGGAAGGTGAGGACAGTAGCTGTGGAACCAGCTTCGCGTGAGGGCAGACATTTCTTGAGTGTTTACTCCTCGGGTCTTGTGCTAGGCTCTTCCTGTGCTGCCCCCCCCCCCCCCCCGCCCCGAGATCCTAAAAACCTCTCCTTCAGGTAAGAACTATTGCAGTGGATCCTATTTGATGGAGGGGGGACTACTGAGGCTCCAGAAGCAGAAACTGTTTTCCAAAGCCACGCGGCTGGGAATGACCAAGGCAGGACAGCCCCCAAAGTGTAAGCAGACACAGGCTTCGGGAGATCTAGATTGGGCCTGGGCTCAGCTTCCACCCCAACGGGCCGCGTTGGCCAGCCCCTGCCCCCCTCGGAGCCTCTCTTTCCCCCCTCGGTGCCACTGAGAGCAGGGAGGGGCTGTGTCTACCAAGGTCACAGCCAGGCGCTGACAGCCCCCCACCCTCACCCCTGCCACCTTCCGGATTGCCCCACCCCTCTCTCAACCATGGCGGGGCGGCGGGGCAGGGGGGGGGCGTCCTAGGAGAGAAAGGGACCCAGGTCCTCTGTATACACAGGGTGCTACTCACGGAGGGGCTCATTCAGTTCCAGGAGGTGGGTGCTGGGATCCTGCTGGCTCCCTGGAGCTTGCCCTCCTGTCAGAAGGAAACTCTGCAGGACAGAGACAAAGCTGCCACCACCATCACCGCCATCATCGTGAACATCCCAGAAGGCAGGATGGTGCGGCGGTTAGGAGCACTGTGGGGTTCAGCAGCCACTTGTGGGCTATGGGACTTTGGATTAAGCCAGGGTCCTAGACAGCTCTCCTCTGTGTGTCCCTCCAGAGCCTTGTTTGCCCCTTCCTCTGTGTCCCAGCAGGCCGACCTGGGCGGGTGGATTCCAGCAATATGCAGCCTTGTTCTAGGTATTCCTGTTGGGCTCACATAACGGGAGATGCTCTCAGGAGGGAGGAGGAAGCGGGGCAGTATTTGATCTCGCTGCTTCTCTGCTGGCTTGTCACGAGCTGGCGGTGTCCCTCCACGGAAGGTTTCTGCTCTTACAAGACCTACTCTCTCCAGGATCTGGCGACTGCGGCCCGCCCTGTGCCTTCAGACTGCAGACGGTGCCGGCTCCCCCACGCTGCTGGCCCCAGCGGGGGCTGCACCCCCTCCTGCCGATTCCCTATGCGCTGCCCACACCTTGGCCAGTAGTCCTGTTTTTAGACGCTCCTCCACACCCCGGTCTGAGCGCGCCGTTTCCTGCCCAGACTCTGACCGATGCGGTTGCTTGACCTCTTGTGGGTGAGTGTGAATCCCACCACCAATAATAATAATAATAATAATAATAATAATAATAATAATAACAACAACCACAACATCTCAAGAGTGGTCATCAACTGCGCCTCTCGCGTTCAAATAGCCCTGCTCAGCGTGGGGAGCCAGAGACCTCTTTTGTGGGCATCAGAGAGCCATGGAAGGTCTTGGAGGGAGGCTCTGTGGAAGTGGCACAGCCTGGGCAGGTTTCGGAAAGGGTGCCCTGGTTGCCATTGTGCAGAAGAAGGACGGCAGAGGCAAGATGGAAGCGGGGAGACGGGAAGAAGGGGGGCAGGGGTTGCTGCTTCCGCTTGGTTGTTTTTATCCTGCTTATTGACAGGCACTAAGGATCAGCTCAGGACCTAATTTCATTTGCTTCTCGTGGTAGCCCTGTGGGATGTCACCACCCCCCTTCCCAGATGAGGAAACTGAGGTTTAGAGTGGTTACCGTACCTGCCCAAGGTCTCACAGTTATCAGGTGGCAGACCTGGGACTTGAGCCCAAGTCCGTCTGACTCTAGTTAGTGTCTGGCCTCCTAATGCTACACTAATAATCCAAGGCCAAGACCTGTTCTAGGTCTGGGAGGGAGGCCCATGGGAGTGTAGGACGTCCCCATACCTACTAAACTTTGTCATTTCTCCCCTTTACCCTGCTTAATTTTTCTTCTTAGAACTTACCACCAACTTAGATAAATTTGCATGGCCTCACCTGGACGACTGACCTTCCATTTGACCTTCAGCCACCCCTTGCCCCTCTCTGGTTCCCTCCTCCCCCATACATAAAACAGTAGGTTTAAGCCTGCTAGGTTCTGAGGGCCAGAGAATCCCATTAATCCCCCAACATACCAGGCTGAGGGGAGGCAGCAGGAAGTTTTCGGGTTCTGGGCTGGGGGACCGTTTGGGGGGTTTCACTCCCAGCAGCTCCACCCCCTCGGCCTCGTCCTCTGAGCTCTGAGCCAGGGTCCTGGGGAAACACAGGTAAGAATCTCAGAATACAATAAACCTGAGCAAGTGTGGGCACCACTGTGAGGAGATGATGAGCATTCATTCATTCCCCTAAGTGTTTATTCCTTTACTCATACACTCACCCATCCATCCATCCACCTATCTGATCATGTACCCACCCATCAATCTACCCAACCATCCATTGATCCATCCATCCATCCATCCTTCCATCCAAACATCCATTCATCCATTTATCCATCCATCCATCTATCCTTCCATCCATTCATCCATCCATCCTTCCATCCATCCATCCATCCATCCATCCACCCGCCCACCCGCCCATCCATCCATCCATCCATCCATCCATCCATCCATCCACCCACCCATTCATCCATCCATCCATCCATCCATCCATCCATCCATCCTTCCATCCATTCATCCATCCACCCACCCACCCGCCCATCCATCCATCCATCCATCCATTCATCCATCCAACCTTCCACCCATTCATCCATCCATTCATCCATCCATCCATCCACCTACCTACCATATTCATTAATTTCCTCCCTCCCTCATTCAATAAGTCTTTATTAGGCACTCACTATACATCCAGCACCAAGCTGAGAGCCTTGGGAAACAGTGAGATGTAGCCACAAAATCTCATAAGGATAGTAAAGGGACCATTCTGGACACCAATTGGGCACATGCCTACCACACAGAGTGCAAAAACTTGAGTATTAGTAATTTAATGTCTCTGGAAGGGAGACACGGACCCTCTGAAGTTATATGCACAACTGTGCATCTGTACGTGTATGAACGTTCTTGGGAAAGAGTCCATAGCTTTCAATAGATTCTCAAAGGTGTTAGGAAACTTAGTTCTAGACAGTTTCTTTGACACTGTTGCAATGTCCTCTTAACTGTGACAAAAATTGTCGCTAGGCCAGATATAAATATGTTCCAAAGGAGAGGGCCCTGGCAGGCTGGTGGGATTTGGATAAACAAGGAGAACAGTGGAGGGCATTCCAGAAGGAGGGCACAGCCTAGGCAAGGAGAGAGGTTGGAACAAGCATGGCATGGGCTGGGGACACTGAGGGCCTGGCGGGAGCAGAGGTCAGCAGGAGGAACGATGAAGGGTGAGGCTGAAACAGGAAGGCAGGAACAAGACAGGGGTTCACTCCCTTCATACGGTCCCTCTACTGTGGCTCACCTCTTCCGAGCCCCAGCCACGGGGGACGATGCCAAAGGGTCCCCTCTGGAAGGGCTGGAGCAGCTCAGCCGGGGGTCACTCCCCCAGCGGGGCAGCAGGGAGGGCTCAGGGGTTGGGGGCGACAGGCCATGGAAGCTCCGAGCGCGGGGCCGGGGGACAGCGCCTGGAGGTCTGCGGAAGGCCCTGGGTAGCTGCTCGCTGGAGTTGAGCTGGAAGTCATCATCCATGGAGATGTAGGGGGCCAGCATCTCCAAATCCAGAGCATCGACATCCTGCGGGAGGCAGGAGGAGGTTAAGAGCAAGAGCCTTGGCCTCAGTGGGCCCGGGCTGGAGTCCCAGCTCCGTCGCATCCGAGTTGTGTACCTGAAGCCAAGAGTCTGAGGGGCGCCCGGGTGGCTCAGTCGGTTAAGTGTCCGACTTTAGCTCAGGTCACGATCTCACGGTTCGTGAGTTCGAGCCCCACACTGGGTTCCCTGCTGTCAGCCCAGAGCCTGCTTTAGATCCTCTGTCGCCTTCTCTCTCTGCCCCTCCCCCTGCTCACGCTCTCTCTCTCTCTCTCTCTCTCTCTCAAAAGAAAAGTCTGAGCTTCGGTTTCCTCATCTGTAAAATGGGCGTAAGGACCCTGTGGTAACCAGTCACCAAGATGGCTCTCAAGCATCCCCACCCTTGGTATTTGCGCCCCAGCGTAATCTCCTACTCCAGTGATATTGAGGGGATGATGGTGTGTGACTTCCAATGTTGGGTTGTGAAGAAACTGTGGCTTCTGTTTTTGCTGGTCCCTTGCTCTGGGGGATGCCCTCTGGAGAGGCCCCCATGGTGAGAAACGGAGGCCTGCTGCCTGTAGGCGCGTGAGTGATCTCGAAGGCGCATCTTCTCGCCCCTTTCAAGCCTTCAAGTGACGGCAACCCTGGATGACGTCTCGACTGCAAGATGTCTCGTGACATCTCTCCTGCACGAGACGCCAGGCAAAAGCCACCCAGTTAAGTGGCTCCCAGACCCCCCCGGTCCCCAGAAATGATGTGAGGTAATACACACTTATTATTTTAAGCTTCAGAGTAGTAATCTGTTATCCAGAAACAGATGACAAGGTTTTGCCGCCGTAACGACAAACCTAAAAGGCGGAGTGGCTTTAGCACAGGGCAGTGGGCGCGGGCTGGAAAGGCCCTGAAGAGCCTGTCAGAGCCGAGACCGCCTTGAACAAACTGTTGGTGGAAGCGTGAACCATGAGGAGCCAGCCCGTGAGGGCATAAAGGGAGGTGAGGGATGTGTTACGAGAAGCCTGAGGAAAGGAGGTTTTTGTTTTGTGGCAGCTAAAGTTGAACACCGGGCGTTGCATGCAGTTTTCTGGAACAGAGAACACGTGACTCGTGAGCCGGGCCGTCTAGCTACGGGATTCCCAGCCACGGTGCGGGATGGCTGCCTGATTTCTTGCCACTTGGGAGTGAAGGCAAGAGGAGAGAAGAGCTAAAAGAGAAACGTTAAAACACGCAGGAGCTGGGACTGGAAAGTCTGGAAGATTCTCAACCTCCCCGTGAAGCGAAAAATTAACTTTCCCCAAAGCGGGGTGTGTCCTCTGTCAGGGCTCCTTGGGATTTCCTGGGGGGCAGGGGTGTCTTTGCTCCTGGCGGTGAGCCCCTGGTGCCACACCGGATACTTTCTGGCAACAAGATGACTCGGGCGGGGGGGCTGGTCGTGTCCGAAAGGCCAACTATGCCATGAGAGGGGTTGAGGCCACGTGAGATCAGCCTGACCTCCAGGGGAAGCGTGTGTAGAGATGGAGATCAAGGTCAGCCACATGGGCAACAGTCCAGCCATGCCGACAGAGTGAAAACTCCGGACACCACAGCTTGGGTGAGCTTCCTGGACTGGGGCTACTCCGTGTGTGCCCCCCCACACCGGTGCCGGGAGGGGAACACGTCCCCGGGGTCACGCAAGGCCTGCCTTTGGGAACCTCCTAGTCTCAGATTCCACCCTACGGATCTCTTCCTCTGGCTATAGTATTCTTTTGCTCCAACAAAACGATCGTCCTGGGGCACCTGGGTGGCTCAGTTGGTTAAGCGTCCTACTCTTGATTTCAGCTCAGGTCATGGTCTCACTGTTGGTGAGATCCAGCCCCACGTTGGGCTCCAAGCTGATAGCAAAGAGCCTGCTTGGGATTCTCTCTCTCCCTGCTTAGCCCCTCCCTGGCTCACGCACTTGTGCGCTCTCTCTCTCTCTCTCTCTCTCAAAATAAGTAAACCTTAAAAAAGTCATTAAAAGATCAACCTAAGTCCAGTGCTGTCCTAAGTTCTACAGCCAGCTCTAGCAAATTGTTGACACTGAGGGAGTCCGTGAGAATCTCTGAATTTGTAGGCAGCTGGTCTGAAGGGAGGGTGGCCTCGCGGACCCCCAAGCTTGCGGCTGATGTCACAAGTCTTGGACAGAAGTGGCAGACCGGAGGACGGCGACCTTCACCTTGCATTTGGCTGACCCTGGGAGCTCCCCAGATGGTGAAGGACGCTAAAATTGAGAAATGGTTTCTGAGCAAAGGAAAGTGCTCTCCGGAAGGCATGGTCTAAAGATGAAGCCAGCGTGTGACTATAAAAGTCTTTGGTTAGTCTTCAGGAAGATCAAAGGCGTTGCCTAGAACATCCTTCGGGCAGATAAACTAGAACTTAAGGATATGCTAGTCGATCTCAGACAAACTTCCTCACTCTGTCACTCATCATCTCCGCAAAATCCCAAGGCAGAGAAGGGCTTATCTCAAAGAGACCTATGAGCGTGACTTTTGTCTAATGCAGTGCATTCCGAAGAGATTCACGTAAGACCCACACATTTTAAAATAAAGATTATTATATAAACAGAAACACTGCCAGCTTGGACTGGAAGGGACAGAGATCGTGCTAAATGGAAAGAGACCTTTGGGCCACCAAA